CTTTTTCTCTTCTTTTTTTTTTACATTTATTTAGTGTGTGTGTGTGTGTGTGTGTGTGTGTGTGTGGCCAGCTCAGCCCACCAGGGGGCGGGGCTGGCTGGCATGTGGTGCTGGGGGATTGAACCATGGTTCCTGTGCTTTGCTGAGCTTGTTCTAAGTAGGTGCTTTAGACCACTGAGCCATCTCACCAGCCCCAGATGTCAGTTTTATTTATATTTTAATTTTTAAAAAATTTCATGTATTTAGTACAGGGTCTACAGCATGTCACTACACAGATTGGACTTGTAGCAATTCTCCTGTTTGCAGTTTCCCAAGTGCTGGGATTGCAGGCGTGCACCACCACGCCCAGTCTCAGTCACCTTCTCAGCATGCCCTGGGGGTGGAGCTGGCCAGGCAGGCTGATGATACAACCCTGGTCCCTGTGTCTGCCTAAGCAGGCTCTTTATTCCTCTGTGATATCTGGCCTGCCCTTAAACATAAGTTTTGACATAATGTAAAACCAATGGATAATGTATCATTTACATTTTGCTCATTCTGGCAACCACATTTAGAACAGAAATTAAGGAGATGAGAAAAGTGGAGCAATCAGGTAGGCCTTGTTTGCCCTGGATTGGGTGGTACCAGGAAGGCCAGGGGAAGCTGTCAATTCATAATACATTATGAACTTGGAGCCCGTCAGACTTGGCATGAATTAAGATCTTATCTCAGTTACTCTTTTTTCATTGCTGGGAACAGTACCTGACACCCAAAATGAAGGAAGGAAAGGTTTATTTAGCTCACAGTTAGTGGAGGTTTCACTCCATACTCAGCTGGCTCCGAGGCAGAGTGGCTTATGGCACAGAGCAGCCTTTCATGGTGGCTGCAAAGAGCAAAAAGCAAAGGGAAGGGCAGCAGCTCAGTAGCTAGCTGGCCTCTCTCCCCTCCTCATATTGTAATGCAGATTACCTGTCCCAGGGAAGGTGTGACACCCACATCCACAATAATCAATCACAAACTCCAGAAGCTGCCCCATGACTACAGAAGCCTTGGGGGGACATCTATACATGAAGCATAACAGATGCAAAGAGAGTAAGAATGAGAGGGATGAAAACAAACCTGAGCACCTTGGTGGGCTGTGGCCACAACAGGAGAAATGGGTTTGGGTTTATTGTCATGTTTGGATTTGGTCTATTAAGTTTGAGATGACAACTGGACATTCATATAGAGATAGTTGATGAAGCCAGGACCAGAACTATTTAGGATAAAGTTTTCTCTCTACCTGCACAGAGCACTAATGACCCCTGAAGTAGACTGTGCTATGGGACCATATGGGAGCCTGTCTTCAGAAAAAGTTGATTAAAAACACTTGCAGTTAGTTACAGTTGCATCCATAAAATAATTTATTTGAATTTAACAACTGATAAAAATGAAAAATGTAAATTTGTTTCTCAGATATTCATTAATGCCCTTGAGAACATGAGCTCAGTTTTGGTGTAGTAACTCTCAAACTGCTTTGACAATGACTCATATTAAGAAACAAATTATACATCACAACCCAGTACATGTTTGCATACATAACTTCATAACAAACAGTTTATTAAATAACATGTGCAACAGATTCTAATATCTTCTTTTGTACATCACTACCATTTTTGGATTCTGGACAGGCTCACCGAATTGTTTGAATGATTCACTGATGGGTCAAAAATCGCAGCCTAAAAAATCTTCCCTAGATGTATCTTAATTGATTGTTAGTCCCTAATGTAGAGATGCTTCTTAGAGTACCTGAAAAGAACTTTATAATCTACAATTTTTTGG